AAGGGCAGGTGGATCTCTGTGAGTTCAAGACCAGCCTGGTCTGCAAAACAAGTTCCAGGACAACTAGGACTGTGGCACAGGGAAACCCTGTCTCAAAAAAAAAAAGAAAGAAAAGAAAAGTCAAACCAAGATAAAGTTGGATTGGACAATCATTTGAGTTCCTAATTATATATAGAAGAACTTACTTTAGTTAATGTGAACTGAAAAGTCATTGAACCATATTAGGAAACACTGGTTTAGTTATAGGATGTTTAAAAAAAAAAAAGGCAGGAGAAAAGGGTGGCTGGAATCATGGCCAAAAATCAGGCCACTTGATCCAGTAAAGAACGAAAACCAGGGGCTGGGGAGATGGCTCAGTGGTTAAGAGCACTGGCTGCTCTTCCAGAGGACCCATGTTTCAATTCTCAGTACCTACATGGCAGCTCACAACTGTCTGCAACTCCAGCTCCAGGGGATTTGACACCCTCCTACATACATACATATGCAGGCAAAACACCAATGCATATAAAATAAAAATATATTTTCTGGAAAAAGCTTTAGAAAAACCCAGGACAGAACCAGGGTCAAGAGGACACTGTCACCAGACAGGCATTAAACATTAGTGTCACTAGAAAAAAAAAAATCACTGTTGTTTTGCATCTTAATATCAATAGTTTCTCTTTGAAAGCCTGGAGCAGGTGCCTCTGAAGGTCTCAAACAACAACAGTTTTCCTCTTTTAGTCTAACACTGTAGTGAATTCTTACCACATTGTTGATTGCTTTTCCAATGTTGAATGTACTGTGCTTTCAAAGAAGTCCAATTTAATGATGATGAGTATCCCTTGTACGGCTTGCTTTTTTGTTTGTTTGTTTTTGTTTTCTGAGGGGAAAAACCCAGGAGGAGGGGAACGTTATTGTTGCTAATGAGAAAAGCAAGTACTATATAAGTCTTAAGAAAACTAGAGATGGAATCCAGAAAATGAAGCTGATCATTGAACACAGCTGGAGTGTGTGTGTGTGTGGGGGGGGGGGGTTGGGGTGCTTCCTCTGCTATAACAGGATAAAAGAGAAGGGGGAAGAGGAGGAGATGTAAGATACAAGTGGGCTGGTAGGCTAAACCAGAGGGAGATGAATGGGTTTTCTAGATATCAGGTCTTTAACCTTGTGACTCAGCATTTCTTAAGACTTATCCCAAGAAACCGTCTAGCAGTTCTACTAAATTTTCTTCAAGACCATCCCTATATCAGTTATCACAACAATAAAATAAAAACCAATGCTAAAGATGCAGTTATAAGAATTATAATGACATCATACAGTGGAATATTCTGTGACTATTTAAAAATAACAGTGGGGGGCTGGAAAGATGGCTTGGCAGGGGCTGGAGAGATGGCTCAGTGGTTAAGAGCACTGTTCTTTCAGAGGTCCTGAGTTCAATTCCCAGCAACCACATGGAGGCTTACAACCATCTGTAATGAGATCTGGTGCCCTCTTCTGGCCTGCAGGGATATATGCAGGCAGAACACTGTATACATAATAAATAAATAAATCTTTAAAAAAAAAAAAAAAAAAAAAGATGGCTTGGCAGATAAGATCATGTAAGATCATGTACTGTTCTTGTAGAGACCCAGGTTAGGCAGCACCTGTGTTGGTCAGTTCATAACTGCCTATAACTCCAGCTCCAAGGGACTCAATTCTCCTGGCCTCCATAGATACCCACACTCACGTGCGCGTTCTCAGACAGAGATACACACACATTAAAAGTTATAAGAATAAGTCCTTTCGTTTTTTAAATGGGGCTATTCCTCAACATAAAAATAATCATTGGGCCAGGCAGTGGTGGTGCACACCTTTAATCCCGGCACCTGGGAGGCAGAAGCAGGCAGATCTCTGTGAGTTCGAGGCCAGCCTGGTCTCTAGAGTGAGTTCTAGGACAGGCTTCAAAGCTACACAGAGAAACCCTGTCTCGAAAAAAAAAAAAAAAACCATTAATAATAATCATCATCATCATCATTGGATAGTAGGTGGGGGAAATAAAAGATATATAGATGTAGGTGAAGGTGTGGATAGAAGCAGAGACGGGGAGGAAAATAGAGCGAGTGTTAATGAGGGTTGCTCTGGTTGTCTAGGTGAGTCACAGCCCACCCAACGGTAAATGCTTTGCAGCAACAGTGTTTAATTTGCTCGGGTACCTGCACCACAAGTAGGAGGGTTCAGCAGGACCATCAGGGCCCTGCTCCACCATGGGGCAGCTTGGAGCCTGAGGTCTATAGCTCCAGAAGCTGCTTGCTCACAGCTCTGGCTCCTGGGCTGAGAATGCTCAAATCAGGGGGAGCAGGCATGGGGGGAGTGTTAGGGCTTCTGGGATCCCCCCATCCCCACTTCCATCTCTATGGAACTTGGGCATGGGGTTCTCAGTAGCTGGAGAACGGCTGGGCTTCTCATGTCTAGACCCAGGCCTCCTGAGCACAGGTTTGGGAGCCAGGTAGAGGTCGTGGTTGCCTAGCCTTATGGTCTAGCCTTGGGAGTTTCACAGAAGCATTCTTGCCCTTTATTGGTTGAGGTTATCACAAATCCCACACAGCTATAAGGGAAAGGGAAACTGACTCCAGCTTTCTAGGAGGGCACATTGGCAGCACATCGATAGGATAAGTGGTTGACGAGTGTGGTGGCGCACGCCTTTGATCCCAGCCTTAGAGAGACAGAGGCAGGGGGATCTCCGAGTTTAAAGCCAGCCTGATCTACAGTGTGAATTCCATAGTGAGACCTTGTGGAGGGGGGGGGTTGCAGAGACGAGGAGGAGGAAGAAGGGAGGGAAGAAGGCAAGGAAGCAAGTGGATAGGCTGCCGCTCTTTTGAAAAACCAATCTTTCCACTTAAATGCAAAGGGCGCTCGTCTCCTCCCTCTAGACCTTCACTTCACACTCCTTAGGGGCTCAACTTCAAGCCCCCAGAACTCATGGACAGTTTTACTGGCTTGGGGGTGTTTGTGAGGTGGGTGGGTCCTCAGAGCCAGGGCCTTGTACGTGTTCCTAAAACTAAAGAACTATAACATCGACCTGGAGAGATGGCTCAGTGGTTAAGAGCACCGACTGCTCTTCCAGAGGTCCTGAGTTCAATTCCCAGCAACCACATGGTGGCTCACAACCACCTGTAATGAGATCTGGTGCCCTCTCCTGGCCTGCAGGGATACATGCAGGCAGAATACTGTATACATGATAAATAAAGAAAGAAAGAACTATAACATCGAAGAGACAGTTTCCCTTCACCCAACACCCCACACACATTCGGGGTTCCCAGTCAGAGGAAATGTTGGGACACAGCCTGGCCTGTGTTCCAGAACCTTCAGGGTGCAGCTCTGCCTGGCATGATCCCCTAACCCCCATCCCTGGGGATCCTGGTCCTTCTCTGTATCAGTTCTCCTTTCTCCAAACAGCTTGAAGGACAGCCGACCGCTCTCCTTGCTTGCTGCCTACGGCGCTTCAGTTTGTCCGGCTCATCCGCTGCCCGTCAGGTGTTTAGAGAGTTCTCAGAGCGGGGCCTGCAGCAGATGCCATGAGGATGCTGGCTGGAGGGTGGGAGAAGAAGGGCAGCGGCGGTGGGGGGGTGGGGGGATCGCAAGTCGCAGAGGGGCTCCGGCTGAGCCACGTGACTCCTGCGTGACTCCTGCGTGGTGAAGGCTCCTGGGAGTCTTACCCCTGGCTCCAGCCCTACCAGGTGGCTGTGGGCACAGGGCTGAGCCTCTTTCGTCACCCAGCTTTTCACCTCTGCGCGTTTAATTGGAAAGGAGATGGCACCAGGGTGTAAGAACGTTACAAAGGCAGGTGCAGAGCAAGCTCCTCAGGGGTAGAAAGGGCCAGCGGGGGCTAGAAGGAGCACCAGATGGTCTAACTCTCAGCCTCCCCAGTGGCGCCAAGCACTGGGGTCATCTCACTGCGAGAAAAGTCTTGGGGATGAGACTGCCAGCCAGCTGTGTTTGGGAGACTGGGCTGTAGCCAGCACCAACTCAACTCTTAGCAGGAAGTGAGGAAGTCCCGGCTCAGCCCTGACCCGTGGTCCCCATGGAAAAGTCGTAGTAGCTGCCCTGGGGTAGAAGCACTTATGACCCTCTCTGGGCCCCTGACAGAGAGACCTCAAGTTGCTGTTTTGCGGGGCGGGGGGGGGGGGTGCTAAATACTGGACTGGTGCCACTTTTGGCAGAGACATAGCAAATGACAAGCTCCTGGCTATCTGGGAGAGTATAGAGAAGAGAATGAGAGGCAAAGTGCCGCCTTTCGCTTTAGCTCTGAAATATCCTTCCTATGCTTCCCATGGGGACCAAGGAGCCTGGAGCAGAGGGTGGCTTTTCTACCTACTTAGGGTCCCTCTGGGAATTAACCCATGGGCTGAGTGTCTTGATGCTTAGGAAGGAAGGAAGAAGCCCATGGATTGGGCACAGGATGTAGGATGTAGGATGTAGGTCATGGGAAGCAGAATGTGTGCTACCCAGCCCAGGACCAAAGATACATCCCAGGGCCCTGGATAGGAAAGGTTAGAAAACAGCCTGGCTTGGGAGGCAGAGCAAGGCAGATCTCTGTGAGTTCGAGGCCAGCCTGGGTTACCAAGTGAGTTCCAGGAAAGGTGCAAAGCTACACAGAGAAACCCTGTCTTGAAAAACCAAAAAAAGAAAAGAAAAAGAAAACAGCCTGGACCAGACCTTGCAATAAGCTGAATTCTGGGTGTGAGTGTGGGGTGGGGGAAAGTTGTCCAGCATTTTAGAGTGGAGCTAGGGGACCAGATGTGCTCAGTCCCAGCACTTGAGAGGCAGAGACAGAGCTGTGAGTTGGAGTCTAGCCTGGTCTATATATCAAGTTCTAGGCCAAACTGAGTTAAAAAAAAAAAAAAGGTGAAGATTTTATATATAAACTGGAACCAAAGCCACCATTCTGAGCACTTCTTGTTTCTTGAACACAGAATATACATGTTGTCACCTAGAGGTGGTGGGACCCGGGAGAAGGGAGCTGATAAATGAGGCAGACAAAAGTCTCATGCAATAGCCAACTTTATTCAGAGCATCAGACAGTTTATGATCTGAGGGTTAAGAGGAGTCGCCTGAAAAAAGTGTCCAACCACAAGGACAAGCCGCATGTGTGATGGGCAAACTGCACGGGGCAGGCGAGCCCCAGGGAGCAGGTGAGACGCATGTGGCAAAGCATGCTTTCCCACAGAGGCATACAAACAAGTAACGGCCAGGTGTAATGAATAATCTGAAGTAAACACACTCCTATCCGCGACACCTGAGAAGGACCTGAAATGACATTCCAAGAATAATTTGTGTTTTGAAGAAACTGAGGTCACAAAACTTGTTTTCTTGGAGTTTTCTCACAATCACTCCGAAGTCCAACACATGTTAATAAACTCTCTCTCTCTCTCTCT